GGGGGGGGGGTCCGTGGGGTCGGGCAGGAGGGGTCTGCGTGTTCCTCCTGACCCCGCGGGAGAGGACGGGGCGGGAGGCCGAATTCTGGGGTCTCACCCCGGGACCTCTGTGCCCGCTTCCCCAGCTGGAGCGGGGGTTAGGGACCTGCCTCAGTGTTTACACCTTCATGGGAAGGTGGCGGTAATCTTGAGTAAACAAGATGTTTGTCAGTCTCCGGTTGTAAAGGTGACTTAACTTGCCCTAGGAGTTCCTTTGCTGCCTTTCTTGGGTAAACTTGTCATTAACGTTAATTGATAGTAGTCTTCCCTGTGTATAAAAACCTATTTTGAATTAAAATACTTCACTCTTTGGAAGAAAAAAGGCCCGAAACAGTGTTGAAGAATAAATAAAGGTTTCTTTGGAGTACTTTTGGCCAAGAGGGAACTGTTGAATGTTTTATTAAAACACATCCTTAAGTGCTTGGGATATTTCTGTAAAACTGAACTACAGGCGTATTTTTTAACTGATCTCACTTAATTTCTGTGCAGATCAATGGTCTTGTGTGTTTTCCTTGGGATTTCTTGCTGTTCTATGTAAAGCTATTTGTGTTTATAAAATTTGACACAACTTGTTTATTTAGTAGCCTGTGTATATTCATCTGTATTCTGGTTTTCTTTCTATGCAGCTGGATTCAAAATCATCCAGAGGAGAAACACTTTCCACATGTGGAGCTGTTCACTTCAGAATTAAATGTTACCTGTCTTGAATGAACTTATTACTATATATTTATAATTTTATTCAGAGTGCTAAATACAGACCATGCCTAGCAGAATGGGCTCAAAAATTGGCTTGAACAAAGACTTCATCAGAGTAAAAGCACACTATAGTGGGTAAGTCAGCATGTTCTCTCCTTTATATTGTGTCCCATCTTAATTCTGAAGCATACTGAGCAGGAGTTCATAGTCTGACCTAGTGATAGAGTAACCAGGGCACTGGTGGATTTGCAGTTAATGTCAGATCAGGTAGGTAAACTTCTGGGCTGTTGAAATACCGTCCAGACTCCTGCAGCATGCTGACTGTGGAAAAGAATTGATAGTTTATTCTTCTCTTGAAAGGGGAGAGAATGTGCAGAACGGGCCTGCAGTTATTCTGGGTTGATGGGTTATTGATTCCTGTTTGGTTACAAGTGTTGGTGGTCACAGGCAAGTGTAGATCCATCTCTTGCATCCAGATGTAGTTATTACATAAAGAAATTATAAATCTTACATAATGAACTCTACAAGTTGCTGCTGAAATCAGCAGGAAACTCTGAAGTACAGGTTTCCATTTACAGATGTCAGTTTGTGCTTTTTGGGAGAAAACCTGTAATGATTAATAAGAAACCTTTTCTAGGGGGGATTTTTAGATACTATTTTAAATTACAGCGCTTATGTCTTGAAGTTAAAGGGGGTGTTTCTTTGTGGATAGATATTTTAAGTCTTGGTAAGTGGGTGCCATTGTTTTTGTCCTTTTTAGTTTGTTTTATAGAAATTTTAAAAGGAATTATTTAGGTAAATATGAGAAGTGAGGGAATTTTGCTTACATTGCAAGTTACCACTAAATTTAGATGAACCTGTGCAAGCTGTTTGAAGACTCAGTTGTGATTAAAAAAACCCAATCAAACCACAATATTTGTTTCCTGTTGTGAATTAATACTAAAAGTAAACTCTTGGATAGTTTGACATTTAATTTTTGATAGCTGATTTTCCCTGTTCTTTTCCCAGTAATTTGACTAATGCAGCTTGAAGGGCGGTGGGATGGTAACAGAGCTGCTTCAGTTACATTCATGATGTTTATTTTTGCAGCTCTGATTTAAGGCAATATAAAAAGTCATGGTCCTTTATGACATTCAGTCAGTTGTCAGTGGAGTCGGGAAGATCTTATTACTTCAGCGTGAAATTTGTTTTTTCAAATGTGTATAATTGGTTTGCTGCTACTGTGAGGACATTGTAAATTAATGTTGTTTTGGTCTCTCCTGTCTTTCCCCAAGGCATAAGTTTAAGTAAATCCTTAGACTTGATTTGAAGTATTTAGACTGAATTTACTGGCATTTGTTAAGTGACCTGAGTCATCTTTTCTGATGTTCTACTGCTAAATAAGTAAATGTTGCTACTACTGTGGTTGTTCTTATATTGTGGTGTAGAAGAATGCTGGTTTGAATTAAATGTCATGTAATTATTAAAGTCACTCCACCAAATCTTATTGAAAACAAAGTGCTTTCTTGTTAAACTTGTCTACCAGGTCAATGCCAAGTAGTTTGAGGTCCTGAGTTTAGAATTCTAGAGCATTTGTGTTAATTTGGTAAATGCCAGTAGTTTTCTCATAAATTAATATGAAAATGTATCTGGTTCTACTTTGCCTTCAATTTCTAGCTGTGCTACTGACTTCAATTCCTTATGCCTAGTCATTTGATTTTTATGTCTTCAATTTGCCACCTGTAAATTGAATGTCTGGTAGAATCTGTTCATTTATCTACAGGTTAAGTTTTCCTATGAAAATTTGCTTAGTAAAAGCACAGATAAGCTTTTAGGGGTGAGAGTTCATGTCGAAACTTGTATCTTAACAAAATACAGAGATTTGCTACCTGAAATAAAACACATTTTACAAGAAATCCATGTATGAAGGTAAATGCTGTGGTTTACTGTTACTGCTGCTCGGTGGTTTTTGAAATGTGTTCATGATAGTTAATGCAGATCAGTTAGGTTTTGTTGTTACTAAGCAGCACCGCGGCTTTGTTTTGGTTATTTAATTGCATGTGAACTGCTTTATGAACTCTGAGTGAAAGATTTGTACCGTATATTTGCCATTCGTAATAATTATTTTCTATTCTGTTGTCTAATCCTATACCTCTGAATCATGTCATGCATAGTTTTAAGTTGAAAAGAACACCTGAACTTCAAATGCTTGGGTGATGCACTTCTCTGAGGTGCACAGATCTGAACCAGCAACAGGAGAGCTGCTTTAGTTCTTATTTATCATATATATATAAAATGTATATCTGATATATCATTTCAAAATCCCAGTTAAAATTCTAAGTATGAGGAAGTTCTAAAACACATGAACATTGAGTGTCTCTCTGTAGAGTCCTAGTATCTTAGGTATTCATGTTTCTGGGTGTGACAGAGTTCCTAACATAACATAGTATAAATAACTGCGTAAGTAGGTTGCAAAAGAAGGTAAACTTGTGTACTTCTCATTGCATTACTCCAGTGACTTTAGTGTATCTGCTTTATACCTGGTTACTTGAAGTCACTTCGGAGTAGAGCAGTGATGCAGTACCATTTGCTCCATGTTACCTCGGTTCTAAATGGTGACACGTTTAATCTGTCAGTGTGAAGGATTCTCTTGCTATAACTGCTCATACGTAATTTACTGGTCCCTAGTTCTTTGTGCTACTTTGTAGTGTCCAGTTTTGGATACTTGGCAAAAAGTGTCTTGTGGGATTCTTTAGTGTTGAGCGATGAAGGATTTTTGATTATCTGTGCTGTGATTGACTAATGTGGCTGTACAGACATTAAGATTAAACACAGTAATTCTCAAAGGAACATGGGTGTCATTGACATAATAATAATTTGAATAAATATCATTAATGTTTGCATCTGCAATAGGTGCTGTTTAGCATACTTCAGCTGGTTTTGTCCAATATGAAGTCTATTAATTTACCTGTAGAACGGCAGTGCCATCTGTTACAATAATTTTAACAATTTAAGGCTGATGAGTATGCCAGGTTTAATTGGAGCTTTTAGTGTGCATAGTAGAGTATTGTCTTACGGCATAATTTCAGTTTTGGAATATTGATTAGGTAGCTGTAGGAGCGTGCTTGTCCAGAGTTACCCCAGACCTACAGCTCCTTGAACTCAAGAGGAGCTGCATTTGTTATTGACCTTGTCTTGGTGCAAGGCATTGCACCAGACTCCAGATACCACCTTGAGAACTCGTTTGGTCTCTTACTTTCATAAGTGCATAAAAGATGATTTTTTTGACAGATGTTCTTAAACTCAACCTCACCTGACAGCTCTCAGTATTGTACAATAACACAGTTTACATGGGCAGTTAGTGTATATATTTCTTTCTCCATTGTTATTATGAAGAATTATTAAGTTGCTGTTGTTAGAGAACTTTACAAATTGTAGATTAAAGGTATACTTGAAAAGGTAGCAGTGCTTTTAATCTGAAATTTATTACAGTTCTTTAAAATTGTATTTTTAGAGCTTTGCGTACTATAGTTTTTCTCAGCGAAGGCAAAATCCAAAGTAATTAGTGTTTATCATTTAAAATTTAAGTCATATACTTTAAGAATCTTAGTGTAGTACC